TATGATGAAGGGCCAGAGGCTTTGGAAGCTGAAATTCGTTTTACCGAGATGGTGAAGGCACACCTGAAGGGTACTCCTAGCTCCCCTGCTCCTGCGGCTACCTCAAGTCCTAATGTAGTGGATGCTTTTGAATCTACTCCCTTTGATCCGAAGAGGAAGTAGAACTATGTATTTTGTTTTTATAAACAGCCCGTTTTGGGATAATGAATATAACTTTTCGTTTTAGGCTTGCCTGACTTGTTTTTGCTGTATGCTCTTGATATATTTCTCTGACTGGTAATGTGTTTAAACACTAAACATTGTCTTTATACTTCGGATTTATGCTATCCGTGAAAATGCAAGGATTGTGGGAAGAAGGAGATCCTTTTAACAGTTTAGTTGATATCGCAGGATGAGTCATATGGACAATGATTTAACTGTTAAATGAACCTTCCTCGCCTTCTACTTGCCTTCAGTATACATACTCTTTCCTTCTCATGTGTTCCTGATGTGGGGTGGAATATGATGAACTTATGACATATCCGCATACACAAGGTATTAAACACTTGGAAACACTTGGAGTCCGGAGGAAAGAGTTCTGATCTGAATAGGACACTTAGGGTCCGAAGCTGCCTCGGATACTCAGGATCCGAGGCGAATTATACATTCCCTGGCGTGGAACCGGAGGGGGGTTTTGTCGAACCGAACACGTAGGGTCCGAGGCGAGATTTTCGCCGAGCCGAACACTTAGGGTCCGAGGCGAATGAATTACTCCCTGACACTGAGCCCGAGGGGAGGTTTTAAATGAATCACTCCCCGGCGCTGAGCCAGAGGGGAGGTTTTGCCGAGCCGGACACTTAGGGTCCGAGGCGAATGAACTACTCCCCGGCGCTGAGCCTGAGGGGAGGTTGTGCCGAACCGGACACTTGAGGTCCGAGGCGAATGAATTACTCCCCGGCGCTGAGCCCGAGGGGAGGTTTAAATGAATCACTCCCCGGCGCTGAGCCAGAGGGGAGGTTTTGCCGAGCCAGACACTTAGGGTCCGAGGCAAATGAATTACTCCCCGGCGCTGAGCCTGAGGGGAGGTTTTGCCGAGCCGGACACTTAGGGTCCGAGGCGAATGAATTACTCCCCGGCGCTGAGCCTGAGGGGAGGTTTATTTCATATTCTTCCTCAAATCACTTATTATGAGGCTAAAGACTCAAAAATGATAGGAGGCCAAGAAAGCGAGTAACAGTGGCTGTGAAGTTCTCCATTTGTCGACTTTAGAGACCTGCCTCCACTGATACTCCCTTCTTGGCAGCCAAATGTTGTGGACCGCGCATATATGAACCGCATTTATTCTCTATTTCTATCCGATGTGGGACATAGACTAAATTTTGTTAAAAAAGTCGGTGTAAGGAATGCCTCTGGTATTAAGCTTGACAGCTTTAAATACCAGTGGGCCCTCCTTACACCGTAATTAACTATTTGAATATTCCCATATATAACAGAATGTAGCACATACTGTTTTATCGATGTGGGATAGAAAGTTTTAAGCACAGGCCATAATTCATGTGTTTTGTGTCTTGTGTGCTTGTTGGTTTTTGTGTTTGTGTTTTGTTCATTTTTGTTTTTGTTTTGTAAAAATCATTGTTTTGTGCGACTTGGCATGCGTATAAAAATGCGACTTGGCATGCGCATAAAAATTGCGTAATCATAGAGTTCGTATGACTCCCCATTTTTATAAAAAGAAACAAAAACAGAGGAGAATGATATTGAATAGAGAAGCAAAATAAAGAAAAGTTTGGCTAACTGCGGACATATTCAGCCTTATTTGTGAAGAACTTATAGCAAAATTGACAAACTTAACTAATGGAAATACCTTTTCAGGTGTATTGCATTCCAAGGACGCGCAATGGGGCGTCCGCCAGCTTCGGCCAAACGATATGCTCTTTTCCCCACTACTTCGGTAACTCTGTAGGGTCCGGTCCAATGAGGTTCCAGTTTTTTTACATGAGCTGTCTCCTGCTTCAACACCCAATCGCCTACCACAAAACTCCTGATCCTGACGCGTTTGTTATAACTGTTACACACCTGTTGTTGGTAGGCCGCGAGTCGAATTGCTGCTGCATCTCTCCTTTCGTCTACCAAATCAAGGCTATGTTCGAGTTGTTGCTCATTGTTCCCCTCCAGCACCAAGGATGTCCGAAGGGTTGGGATTATGGACTCGGTAGGAATGACAGCTTCGGACCCATATGCCATAGCAAATGGGCTTTCTCCCGTGGGTCGTCTTGGAGTGGTTCGATAGGCCCAAAGCACTTGAGGGAGATTCTCGTACCACTTTGTCTTCAATTTCTCCAATTTTTTCTTTATCGTGCGATTAGTTATTTCAGCTTGCCCATTGCCTTGTGGACGACTAACTGCAGCCAACTTTTGCAAGATTCCATGTTCGCTAAAGAATTTCCTTATACTTCTGTTATCGAGGTTCTTACCATTGTCCATTACGATGACTTTTGGTACCCCAAACCGGCAAATAATGTTGCTCCAAATGAAATGCTTTACTTCTTCGTGGGTGATGCTAGAGAAGGCTTCAGCTTCCACCCACTTGGTGAAGTAATCCGTAGCCAGAAGCACATGCTCCTTTTTATCCATGGTTTTGGGCAATGGTCCTACTATATCAATCCCCCATTGGGCGAACGGCCATGGATTAGCCATGACGTGCAAACCCTCGGCAGGTTGGTGCTTTATTGGACCATGACGCTGACACTTGTCACATCGTCTTGAGTACTCCTCGGCATTCCGAGCCAAGTATGGCCAAAAATAACCTTGGGTCAGAATTTTGTGTGCAAGGGATCTTCCTCCGGAGTGGTTTCCACAATCTCCTTCATGAACTTGTTTTAGAATTGTGAGAGCCTCAGTAGGGGTTACACACTTGAGATAGGGACCGGAGAATGACCTTCGGTACAACTGGTTATTGATGATGGCATACTTAGCCGTGGTAAGCCTAAGCTTCCTTGCCTCAGCTTTCTGATTCGGGAGAACCCCTTCCTTGAGGTAGGCTTCGATTGGATCAATCCAGCAGGGCTCATGTGGTACTTCCGGGATCACCATCACCTCTTGCTGGGGATTAATGCTAGGTCCTTCGAGAACATCGATTGGAACAAGCCGAACCAATTCTTCGTCTAAAGACGATGCGGCTGCGGCCAATCGATCTGCTTCGGCATTTTCATCTCGTGGTACCTGACGGAACTCGATTTGATCGAACTTTCGGATAGCACTCTCTACAGCATCTTTGTATGACTTCATACGTTCCTCCTTGGGGGAATATTGCCCTGTCACTTGATTGATCACAAGCTGTGAATCACTAAAAACTTTTAAACATCGTACCTGTAGTTGTTTAGCTAGCCGAAGTCCGGCGAGCATTGCCTCATACTCGGCCTCGTTATTAGTAGATGGGAAATCTAGCAGAATTGACTGCTGCAGCTTGGTACCCTCGGGTGTTGTGATGTCAATACCAGCCCCTGCCCTCTTCCGGTTGGACGAGCCATCAACTCGTAACTCCCAGTATGGCTCTAGAAGTGTCGGTTCCTCAGGTTGATCTTCGTACTCTAGTAGGAAATCCGCTACCGACTGCCCCTTGTGAGATACCTTCGGTGCATAGGTGATGTCAAAAGAGCTAAGTTCAATAGCCCATTTTGTAATTCGACCAGACAGGTCTGGTTTAGCTAGGATAGCCCGGATAGGGTAATTTGTAAGTACCACTATGCTGTGAGACTCGAAGTAATGTCGAAGTTTCCTCTTGGCATAAATTAACGCCAGGATTACCTTTTCTGTCTTGCTGTACCGTGTCTCGGCATCCGTCATAGTTTTGCTTATGTAAAAGATTGGGTGCTGAACCTTGTCTTCTTCTTTGATCAACACTGCACTTGTTGCTACAGCTGATACTGCCAGGTACAGGATGAGAGTGTCTCCGGGCGTTGGAGCAGAAAGGATTGGGGGTTTTGCCATGTAGCTTTTCAATTGATTGAGAGCTTCCTGCTGCTGAGGTCCCCACATATCTTTGTTTTTGGATCGAATAGCATCAAAGAAAGGTTTATACTTATCAGATAATCGGGATATGAACCGGCTGAGAGCCGCAATTCGGCCGGTTAGAACTTGCACTTCCCTGCGAGTTTTCGGTTCCTGGTTCTGTATGAGTGCCTTTGCCTGAGCTGGGCTTACTTTTATTCCTCTTTTATTTACGACGTGCCCAAGGAACTGTCCTGACGAAACGGCGAAGGAGCACTTGGTGGGGTTCAGCTTCATATTGTATCTCTTGAGAGTATCAAAGACCTCCTGGAGGTGCTTCGGGTGGTCCTCTTTCCGTATACTTTTAACCACCATATCATCGATATAGGCTTCAACTATATTGCCCAGCAGATTACTGAAAATTTTATTTACAAGTCGCTGGTAGGTGGCTCCGGCATTCTTTAGACCGAAGGGCATCACTCTGTAGCAGTAAGTGCCCGTTTCTGTGATGAAAGCAGTTTTCTCCTCATCTTCAGGATTCATGGGAATCTGATTATAGCCAGAGTATGCATCGAGGAATGTGAGCCTTTCATAACCCGTCGTAGCATCCACCATTTGATCAATCTTGGGCAGAGGAAAGCTATCTTTTGGGCAAGCTTTGTTAAGGTTGGTATAATCTACGCACACCCTCCATTTCCCATTCTTCTTTTGAACGACTACTACATTCGAGAGCCATTGTGGGTATTGCACCTCTCGAATGAATCCTGCTTGTAACAGTTTATTCACTTCCTTGGCTATTATGCGATTGCGTTCAGGTGCGAACCGCCGGTGCCTCTGTTTGACTGGCCTAAATTCTGGGTTAACCCTCAGACTATGGCATTAGATTGTAGGATTGATCCCCACCATATCTGAGTGATCCCAGGCAAAGACATCCGAATTGCACCGAATAACCCTAATCAATGCTTCCTTCTCTTTGGCTGTGCAAGATGAGCCAATGTAGGTGATCTTCTGAGGGTCTCCGAGGACTACCTCTACAGCTTCGAGGGACTCCTCGGTAGGCGCTTCAGCTTCGGATTCTTCCTCTGCCTTGAGATACTTGGGCAGAGGATACTGTAGCTGCTATTTGATTGCGTCTTTGGGATTCGCCTCTGACTGAGGTGATTTCGACGCTTTCTTTGCTTCATGTAGCGTTAGCATATAACATTCTTTGGCAGCAACCTGGTCTCCCCAGAGGTCGATGACCTCCCTGCCATCCGGGGATAAACACCTCATTACTTGATGAAGTGTAGAAGGGACTCCATTCATACGATGGATCCAACCTCTTCCCATAATGAGGTTACAGGATGGATGAATCTCTATCACGACGAAGTTTTCCTTTAGAGTTCTCTTTACTGCAGTAACGGATAGATCGACCACCCCAAGCGGATTCACCTTAGTACCATCAAATCCCATTAGGGGGCCGGAAGTTGGCCTGATGGATGATGGTGAAATCCCCAACTGATCAAAAGCTGTTTTTGTAATGATGTTGGCGTTACTTCCCGGATCTACCAGCACTCTCCTGATCATGTAATTCGCTACCAAGAGGCTGATGACCAAGGGGTCCTCATGCGGGCGCTGGACTCTAGAAAGGTCATTGTTACCGAATCCAATGTTGATGCTGCCTGGTGCAACTGTGAAGACAACCTGCGTAACTTATGAGCCTCTCGCAGCCTGGATCTGTACAACTCTTCAGATTCTTCATCATCCTCCGACCTTCCGTGTATAGCATGGATAACCTTTACCTGACCGCTCTCTACCCGTCGAGGGTTAACCTCCCGCGGTCTTACGTGCTCCTTTGTGGCGAGATACTCCACCAACTCTCCTTTTGCTATCATGCTTTCTACTTGTCGCTGTAGGGACCTGCAGTCATTGGTGGTATGCCCATAATCTCTATGGTAGGCACAATGTTTGCTTTTGTCCCTCTGCTCCAAGGGTTGCTTCATGGGCTGAGGAGTTGCGAACCTCGTCTTATTCTCTTGGAATAGGCGCGCCAAGGTAGTACGGAGAGGGGTAAGCCTGTCCTTTGTCCTTCGCCTTTTCTCAGACGCTTGGGTGACTTGTGTGGCGGTATGAGGGACCTTCTGCATCCTTGTGCTCGCAGCTTTCTCTCGAGACTTGTTTTCCACCGTGACGAGGGTAGCGTGCTGTGCACGGTGGACTACGTTTTCCTCCAACAGGATGTAGATTTGTGCCCTAGCGTTCAAAGTCTGCATATCCGGGGGGGAATATTTGACTAAGGATGTGTGAAACTTGGTTCCCTGGATCATCGCCAACTTAAACGTTTCGATTGCCGTGGCAGGGTGGCAATCTGCTATCTCCGAGGCCTCCATGTTAAACCTGGATAAAAAATCTTGCAAAGTTTCTCCCTTCCTTTGCCTTATGGTGAAAAGGCTGGCGATACTTTTCTTCTGCTTCTTATTTCCGCAATACTGGGCTAAGAACATGGTGCACAAGGTCTCATAGTCAGGGATAGACTTGTGTGGCCTATTCCTGAACCATTCTAACGCTGCTCCGGTTAAACTGGTAGGAAAAACCTTACACATCCACGGATCGTTATGATCGTCCAGTGCCATCTTTTGCGCATAATGATCAAGATGCCGAGAGGGGTCTCCTGCCCCATCGAACTGGGTGAAGGATGGCATAGTGAACTTCTTCGGCCTCTCCACAAGGTACACCTCGTCAGTAAAGGGGGTCTTGACCAAGGAATTCTTGTGCTCTCTAGCCATCTCGGCTGGTGTCTGGACTCTCAAGAGCTTCTTTTCGTCGAAGGCATCTTGTACACGTGCGCCATCCGGAACGCCATTGGACCATACGGTGAGCCTACGGCTGGACTCAGCCTGTTCGTCCTGAGTGCGATGCGGGAGATTATCCGAAGCAACCGCCTCGGACCTCGTCCCTTGCTTTTGCTGAACCTCACTAGGTTGAGCCCCATTGGGTGGTGTCTCGTTGGCTGGAGGCTCGTGAACCGGAGGTAAATTCCGGGTGGGAGGTGGTGCCGCAGCATCGCCTGGTGGCGGTTGTGGCGTTAGCCTGGCCATGGCTGTGTGCAGCGTATGAGTCTGCTGCTGAAGCGTAGCTATCTGGGCGACACTCGTATCGTTTGCTTGCCGGAGTGTCTCAAATTGGTGCAAGAACTCTTCTCGCATCTTTTGCATCAATTCAATCTGTTGATTCATTACTGACTCTCCGTTTGACATTCCAGACACGATTAAAGGATTTAATTTGAAGAACAAGTGGGAGTATATTTCTATACGATTCCCACAGACGGCGCCAAAGTGTAGGTGCAAAATTTCGCTCAACTAATAATGACTGAGAAAAATAAAACAACTCACTCAAAAACAATAAAAATAAATAAGAACAATGTGTAGAGAAGTGTGGAATTGCTTGATCCTTTATTGGAGGTCTTAGCCTCTATTTATATACAAAAGATTGCAAAATTATGGTAGGACTCGCGTTGCTTGCCCTCCAATTCTTTCTATATAACCATTCTTTTCTAATAGAGTTCTTTCCATTGTTGAATTTTCCATACATAGAACTTGCCTTGTACAGAACTTCCTATCCGAATTTTCCTTCTACGGTAAATTCTTCAAATGGTAGGATTTGTGCATTCTTGGGCTGAATATATTTTGATCCGGCTGGGCTTGGGTAACAGGCCGGATGTTAAATACCCATATCTGGGCTGACGACAAGCTGGGCTGATAGCTTCTTGATTCGGCCTTGATGGAATGGTCTTGGGCTGTAAATACCCTCAACTTGGGCTTGAACATGATGGGCCTTATATGTCCTTGGCCTGTAGATATGGGTAGTGGTGACGTGTGCGTTTTTTATTGGAGGGAGTTTTTTCCCTCCACAGCTCCCTTAAAAAGAAGAACATAGGATGGCTTCAAATTAGTATCGACTGGGATCTTCACCAATTGGAGTTGTCTTGTACCCTCTCAATAACCCTCATTATCTCATAAATTAGCCTTATTGTACACTTTTATTATGTGGATTGATACACAAAGGATAGCGCTTAAGCTACAGAAAATGTTGAGGCAGTCTAAAATTTAGCGACGGGCACTATCTAAAGAGAAGAGATTGCACATTAATCCATGTGTGTCCGAAATGGGTTTTTAGTTTTTATTTTAATTAAATAGAATTAGATATCTCATTTCAGAAGGAAAAAAAAAATGTGATATTGAGCCTCTTTGTTTGAAGTTCACCAGAATTGCTCACGGTGTGTTGGAGTTTTTACAAATAATAAATAAAAATTAGCACTTTCATGTTCTATAGCAATTGAGACCCCAATTTGTCTTTAAGAAGAATAAGATCCATGGAGGAATAGAATATTTTTGGCATAATATCACACAAAGAGTAATATATTATGTCTCGAGATTGGAGAATGCATGTATGATGAATTATGGAATGTTTTAAGAGTTTAATTCTATCATTTTTCTATAATTGGAGAATGCATATGTGATGAATTATGGAATGTTTTAAGAGTTTAATTCTATCATTTTTCTATAATCATAATATATATGTAGTGAGAGCATCTCCAATGCTAAAAAACTAAATTCGGATGCCAAATCTATATTTTGACAGTCGGATGCCAAATCTATATTTTGACAGTGCTACAATGTCAAAATGCTACATTTTAGCAATTCTGCTCCAATAATACATTTTATGCAAAATGCAATTTTTTTAACATAACCACCATTATTTTTCAACTACCATCCTCACCATTCATATTTGCATCAATAATATTAATATTAGGCACATTCCAAGTCAAGTTGTAGATATCAGAAGGAAACTAAAATTCAAAAAAAAAAAAAAAAAAAAGAGATAAAACAAATTATATATAAAAGAAAATCAAAAAATCAAAACCCAAATCTTTTTATATATATTATATATTATATATATATGTATATTATATATATTTAATTATATATATATATATATATATATATATATATATAGGGCAAATCATTTCAGCCTCCCCAATCGCCTCCATCTCTATTCTTGTTCTCAGTTCTGAAATTGCCCCCCCTCGCTGTTTCAGTTCAAGTTCGCCATTCGTAAGCTTCAGTTGTTGGCTCTCAACTCTCAAGCTTGCCCCCCTCTCTCTCTCTCCAACTGCTAACTTGTATGTATGGGTTTTGATTTAATTTTTTTTTCTAAATCAACTAATCCATGGCAAGGGTGGCCTCTATTCCTTCTTGACATCAAAGGCCGATAAACTTTTCACCAAACCCATTAAGAAAGAAGTTTGATTTTTGTCTACTTTTTTTAATCAAGGTCTTGTAATTCTTGTTTTGCAAACTAAATCAATATATATATATATATATATATATATATGCCAAATTTGAACTCCCACCTCTCTCTCTCTCTATGAAATAGCAGTAGCTATTTCTTATGCTACAATTGGCAAAACTTTTGGAAAAGTTAAAAATTGGCAGCCTTTTTAGCATTACATTGAAGAGTCCCTTTTGAAGTCTCCTTGCTATATTTTAGAAATGACAGCCCTTTTAACATTGGATTGGAGATGCTCTGACTAGTGATAGTGCATGTATTTGCTTAGAATTAAAGAAGAAGAATAAGTACATCAAGCAATAGAAGTGACATACATAAGCTGCATTTATTGATTCAAATGCAACTATATATATATATATATATATATTATATTAATTAAAAGTAGAGGCAACATTGACATGATAGAGAATTATTTTAACCATTAGTTTGGCTTCAAATTTATTTAGCATTGACGGCTATCTTAACACCAGCAGCACAATCCCCCGGAAAATTAGATATGAAGTAATTATGTCCCTTTGCAAGCGGTATATGGTCATCTCCCGTTTGGAACGCCGGTGAATCGAGTGAAGTCTTGCAGCTGTTATAGTCATTCTGATTTACCACAATCACATCGTGATGAGCTCGATCATAGATGAACTCTGAAAAATGCAAATACACATGTTTTGTTATATTGTATTACAAACAACTTCATTAATTCCCGTATTACATAAGAACTATTGATCTTCTACAAACTGTAAATTTCCCAAAAATGAATTGGGGTCACTCAAATTTTTCCTTAGTTGTTAGTTCTTAGTATATGTTGTGAAAATAATAATAATTATAATAATAATAATAATAATAAAACATGCTTCATCCAAAATTAAGGATACATGGAGTCACGTATATAGAGTAAAAAATATATTTTAAGAGAAAAAATAGGTTAAAAAAATAAAAAATAAAACTTACCAAGTATGTCACCAGCTTTGAAGCTCTTGCCATTAGGCCAACCACTCACGTTAAAGGTCCAACCACCCTTGTCACCAACTGTAAAATTTGCCCCATGAACTGGCTCAAGGTGAACTACAAGGCTAAGTAGTGCAACCACAATGAGCATGGAACCGCACCTTCCCTGAGACATTTCCGAAAATAGTTAGTGAGAGAAAGAAAAGGTGTAGCTGTGAGAGTGAGAGTGAGGGTGAGAGTGAGAGTGAGAGATGTTCTGAGGATGCAAATTACTCGAGGAGGGATAATCTTTTTATAGTGTTTTGGTGAGAGCTATACAAGGCAAAGTAATTAAGAAATGAAAAATTAATACGAGACATCCACGTCAGTAGGTTGGATGAAATTTATCCGATCTAAGTGTTATTTAAGGAGGTAATTTTATACTTACGTTGTATAATAAGAAAGATTACAATTTATATGGGATAGTAGGAGTAATATTTTAATTACAGATTATATCAATCATAAAGGCAATTAAGACAGTTGTCTAAGACTTCAATAAGAGAAAAGGCCTCATAACTCATTATATTAGGTATATATATTTTTTAATGAATTAATTATGATTTATATATTAAATTAAGTATTAAATAAATACAACTGATTTTCTATGAGATATCAGAATTTAAAAACCAAAATTTTTACGAACCATATCTTTTTCATCTCCATTCCTATGTTCCTTTATAGCACTTACTTGTTCATCAACTTCATCACCGTTAATAAGGTGGGAAAAACCCTAGCCAATGGGAATGTGACAGCTGTACAATGAAGGGACTTTACCATTCGTCTGAAACATGTCAATCCTTGAATCGGATAGGCCAAAAAAATTGGCCGGATGCATTGGAGAACCTTCGGCCCAAGCCCTTCCATCCTCCTAGATAATTGTAAAGAGGATTCGTAGGCCCAGCCGAGGCACGAACCTTAGTAAGATTTTGTACCCTAATGGACAGGGTCCAAAAGGCCCACTAAGTATTTGTGTATTTTTCAGAAGTTGCTTTATAAAATCTTGGGAAGGTTTATTGGAAGGAAATATGAGGAAGAGAGCATTCATTAACCCTCTTATGATATTATATTGGTTGAAATGATTTGCCCATTAGTGAGAGAGAAGAGAGAGAAAGGGGCATCAAGGTTAACTTTTGTAGTCTAGGTTTAGAATTTTAATGTGCGGTTACTGTGGTGATTACTTCAGAAAAATTATTACATGATTCCGATCAATTATTATATGACACATTAGTAAAAAATTAAATAAAATTTGCATATCTCTGACACATTAGTTAATGTGTCACATGGTGATTGAATTGGTCCAGATACCATTTAAAAGTGTTTCGTCCGTTTATTGGTCAATAAAAATTTCTTTTAGTTTTATCTTATAGTTTTATCTTATAAATTTTTTTTTTTTTTTTTTTTGGTGCAGGATTTTTCAAATTTTTATTCTAGAAGTTCCTTCAACAATTTCAAAAATTTTGGACTTCTAATTTTAAAATCCTCTTTTATATCAATACTTGCTCAAAATTTTATACTTTATAATTTATTGCCTTTCTTCTTCGTAGATTTTTAACACAATTAAATTACTATCTATTAAGTTAAACAAAAAAAATTAAAAAAAAAGAAGGAATTTTTATATTTCCTTGAACTTTATTAGTACTATATTTATATACTCAATTCGTATATCTCTCACCAATCCCAATTGTCCTTCCTATAAATAAATCTCTATGGTACAGTTTTAACGGTGTGGAATGATGATGTACAAAGGTTTGGCGTTTTTTCCTCGTACTCTTTCTTCTTCGATCTAATTAACACGGTATTAGAGTCACCAACAAATATAATTTTGCATTAAATAGTTTATTCATTATCAAAATATCATGAATTAAAATTTTTAATATAATAGATTGTATAGTTTCAATGTTGATATATTACTTACAAAATTATCTTATACATATTAGCTAATAGTAACAAATTCAACTGTAATTATCATTGCCCCTATCATTAATTGATGAATGTGGGGGTGAACATAAATCATATTATGTAATAAAATAAAAGTGCTATATATAATACTATACACAAATAATATATTCCTTCATATTATATAGTCTATGTTTTATATTTATTATATAATATATTATGAATATTCTTATAATGTTTAATATTTTTTTCCTAAATTCCTATAATATTTAATTAAAAATATTATCTGTTTTACATAATTATATTATTTTATAGAAAAATTTATTTATTACAAAAATGTATTTCTTATATAATTTACTAATGTATTATATAATATAATGTATTTTGATACTTTTAGTTATTTTCTACTTCTTAGTATAATAGTTTGTATAGTGTAATATAATATCTTATTTGTGAATTTATCTCTTTTATTATTGGTGTTAAATAGGTATTTTAGTCATTTTTGGTAGCAAGGGTTGCTTCCCTTTAATTAGATGCTCATTATTTTACAAAGTATAATGAGAATTGATTATAAAATCAGATATAAGCATATTTGATTTTTTGCCTTTTTATAAAATATGCTTATCAGATATAAGCATATTTTATAAGCAATAAAAATAATATGGGATGAATTTTACATTTATACTATAATTAATTTTTTTTATTCATTAAATTTGCAAAAAGTATTAAAAATAATGTTAAATGGTTTTTAAAAATTCAATATAATTCACTACAAAGTCATATTTATTGAATTATGTATCAGTCCATTTTGGGTCCTATATGCAGGGTCAAAAAAATCCATATAAAACCCCACGAGACCTTTAACCCTCAACACAAAGATTACACTAAGAGCAAATCCACCAACAAATAAACAGCAAATAAAAGTGGTACAGAAAATATAGTAAGCATACAAGTGACGCACAAAAGCTACATTGATAGCGATACAAATATTATATATTATTAATCAAAACAAGAGGTAACAATATTGCTTATTTTAGATTGATATGAGAGATACAAAATAATTTTAGCTACGAGTTTGGCTTCAAATTTATTCAGCATTGACGGTAATCTTCATCCCAGAATCACAGTCCCCTGGAAAATCAGATATGAAGTAATTTTGTCCCTTTGGAAGGGTTATCGCGTCCAGCCCTGTATGGAACACTTTTGAACCGGCCGGAGTCTTGCAACTGTTGTAACCATCCTGGTTTACCACAGCCACATCGTGAAGAGATTTATCATAGTTGAAAACTGCCAAAATGCAAATACAGATTAGGAATACGTGGAGTCACCGAAATTTCACTACGAAAAAAAAAAAAAAATTTAGGGAGTGAGGATAAAAAAAATTATTACCAAGCTTGTCACCGGCCTTAAAGTGTTTGCCATTAGGCCAATTACTCACATTCTGGTTAGAGTTCCAACCAGCACCGCCATTAACTAAATAAGTTACCCCATGGACCGGCTCAAAGTGAACCAGAAGGCAAAGTTGTGCAACCACAATGAACATGGCTGGACCTGCAATGCCCCTTCTTTGAGACATTTCCAAAAGGTATAACTATAAGAGTGAGAAGTTGTGAGGATGCAAAGTACTGACAAATGCTAGTCTTTTTTTTATAGGACGTTGGCGAAAACTATACAGGGCAACTCGGGTTTGAAATATATGAAATGGACCTATTAATTATGATATTACAATGCAGTTTCCCTTCATCATATATTAATTGTTCATTTAATGAATAAAACTTTTACAATTAACTTATTATTTAAAATTATCATTTTATCATTTCAAATTTGAATATATATAAATGTTATTAAATGTGGGTGGGGTGCGGTTCTCATTACATCATGTTAGGAAATATCATTACTTTATGTATATAATAATGTTATTTCTTTTTTTGAAAATTCTAATCGTATCTAAGGAAAGTTGCATTAACTTGCATGGACTTTTTAAGTAAGACAAATATTTTGTTCTAGCCTCTGTAACTCTCACAAATAGTGATGCTTCAAAGCAATTTAGACTATTGCCCAAAGATTTCCATATCTCATTATATTAATTACAGTAATACTATTGCGGGCTCTCTCTCTTACTAGCTCCCCTGTTTAAGCGTGTAGGAATAATATATATACATATACATATATATATATTAGGAAAAGGCACGTGCGTTGCACGTGGTGAATGTTTTGTATGTTTTCTGAATTTTTATTTTTATTTATTTTTTAATTATATTGTCAGATATTAAATGAATTCATATCAACAATGTTTAGAGAGTAATAGTGGTCACCTCAAAAGAAACAAAATAAATCTTTCATTGATGGATTAATCATCCTAAATATGATCCATATATTAGAAAATTCGAAAGGGTACCAACAATATTTAGATTCTAATAATTGTCACCTCAAAAAAAACAAAATATATTAGAAAATTCGAAAGGTACTTAAAAAGTATCACAAACTATTCGAAACTATTATTTTATGAATTCTTAAAATATAATTCTTCGAAAATAAAAATATTTTTAAATTATTTATTTCTCAATCTTTATCTTTTTTTATATCTCATTTCTTCATGAAATGAATCATTGTCAAGTGTTAATTCTTTCAATTCTTTTAATTATAGTTTTATAGAAACACTTTTTATAAAAAAAAAAAATTCATATTAATTAATAATATATATATATATATATATATATATATATATATATATATATATATATTGTGTATTGGAGTTTATAGAAACTCTTTGAATTTTATTAGATAATTTTTAGAGCCCCTTCTTTTTTTTTTTTTTATAATAATAATAGTATAGTTCATTTAGAAATAAATAAATAAAATAGGTAATTTGAATTTTATTAGGTAATTTTTAGAGTTTTATAGAAACTCTTTTTATAAAAACTCTTTTTATATTAATTAATAAATATTTTTTTATATTTTGTGTTAAAATTTTATAGAAAATAGATTTGTTAGGCAATTTGTAATTTGAATTTTATTATGTAATTTGAAAATGGTGATTAAATTTATTAGGTAATTTTTAGAATTTTATAGAAACTTTTTTCATAAAAAATCCTTTTTATATCAATTAATAAATATTTTATATTAATTAATAAATATTTTATAGTTTTATAGAAACTCTTTTTATACAAACTCTTTTTATAATAATTAATAAATATTTCTTTATATTTTGTGTTAGAGTTTTATAGAAACTCTTTTAATAATACAATAGATTTTTTTACATTAATTAATAAATATTTTATAGTTTTATAGAAATTCTTTTTATAAAAACTAATTTTGTAATTAGAATTTTGTTAGGTAATTTGTAATTTGAATTTTATTATGCAATTTGAAAATGGTGATATTTTTTTTATATATTGTGTCAGAGTTTTATAGAAACTCTTTTAATAATAGTATAGATTTATTAGGGTAATTTTTAATTTGAATTTTATTAAGTAATTTGAAAGTAGTGATCGATTTTATTACCTAATTTTTAGAGTTTCATAGAAACTCATTGATAAAAACTATTTTTATATTAATTAATAATTATTTTATAGTTTTATAGAAACTCTTTTTATAAAAACTATTTTTGTAATTTAAATTTAATTAAGTAATTTGTTTTTTTATTTTGTATTAGAGTTTTATAGAAATTAGATTTATTAGGTAATTTACAATTTGAATTTTATTAGGTAATTTGAAAATGGTGATTCATTTTATTTGGTATTTTTTTTAAAGTTTTATAGAAACTATTTTTATAATAGTATAGATTTTTTTTATACTAATTAATAAATAGTTTTTAGGTATATAGAAACACTTTTTATAAAAACTATTTTTGTAATTAGAATTTTGTTAGAAATTGTAATTTGAATTTTATTAGGTAATTTGAAAACGGTGATTGATTTTATTTGGTAATTTTTTGAGTTTTACAGAAACTATTTTTATAAACTATTTTTATATCAATTAATAAATATTTTATAGTTTTATAGAAACTCTTTTTATAATAATTAATAAATATTTTTTTATATTTTGTGTTAGAGTTTTATAGAAACTCTTTTAATAATAGTATAGATTTTTTTTTTATATACTAATGAATAAATATTTTATAGTTTTATAGAAACCCTTTTTTATAAAAACTCTTTTTTTAATTAGAATTTTGTTAGGTAATTTGTAATTCGAATTTTATTTGGTAATTTAAAATGATTGATATATTTTTATATTTCGTGTTAGAGTTTTATAGAAACTCTTCTAATAATAGTATAGATTTATTAGGTAATTTTTAATTTGAATTTTATTAGGTAATTTGAAAGTGGTGATTGATTTTATGAGCTAATTTTCAGAGTTTTATAGAAACTCTTTTATAAAAACTATTTTTATATCAATTAATAATTATTTTATAGTTTTATAGAAACTTTTTTTTATAAAAACTATTTTCGTAATTTAAATTTTATTAGGTAATTTGTTTTTATATTTTATGTTAGAGTTTTATAGAAATTAGATCTATGAGGTAATTTGTGATTTAAATTTTATTAGGTGTACACACAAATAAGTCTGCAATAGAAACAAAATATGGAGCAAAATAGAATTTTATTAATTTATGAATGTGGAGTACAGTCCTTTGTAATATCTTTTACAAAAAAAAGAATGGTCCTCTGATTCGATCTGGTTGGTTGGATCCAAGGGCTGCACGAGCTTGTTCTTGAATTACTGTGGAATTTGATGAAGAACGGCACGTTGTTAGATGTGCTTGATGTTCTTTGCTTTTGGGTTTCGATTCTGAATTTGTGTCTGAATTCTGAGTCTCTGAACTTCTGAATTCTGAATTTGTGTCTGAATTTGTAGACTTCTGAATTCTGAATCCTCTCCCTTTCTTCCTCCAGGCCTCTATTTATAGGCTTCTTGGATTAATAGGATGATGACACGTGTCATCTCCTGATAACGATAAAACTATAACTGGGCCGGGCCGGTTATATTGTGATAATTATCCTTAAAGATAATTATTCAAAATATATTTTATTAGGAATAATTATCGTTTCATTTAATTATCTGGGCTGGGCTAATTAAATAATTTAAGTGGACCAAGCCTGGTAAATTAAATAATTAAACATTAGGCCTATATTTAATGGGTCCATTCGTTAAAACCAAAGCCCACTAAATTTTAATGTCTACAAATTGCCCCCACTTCAAGTCCCAATTTTGACAAGACTTGTCTCTTTTTCCAAGTGGGACTTGAAGTTTCCTTTTTTTTTTTTCTTTTTTTTTTTTTTTCATCTTAATTGTACTTTCCTATTTAAATTGAATTGTCCAAATCCCAATACAACTTGGAGGTATCTTGTTGCCTATATATACCCTCAATATTGTAGGGTTTGATATTAATTCCAAAAAAAATCTCTAAAGACTTGTCAAATCACAAATAATTGGTACGTGTGTTTCTTCTTCTTCTTTTTTTTTTTTTCTCCACGCATGTAGGAAAATTTTTATTTTTTTATTTTTTTTTCTCTCTCCACGCATATAGGAGAAATTTTTTTTTTTTTTTTTTTTTTTTTTTTTTTAACCCCCTTTTTTTTTCTTTGCAGGGCTTGATTGGGTATAACAACTTAATTGTGTCAACCGTAGCAGAAATTGAGTCCTCCTTCTAGACAACATCGATTTGAGCTTTGTTATCCATCATGGTGGTGTTCAAGTGTTTCGCAAAGCAAAAGCTGACTATCTTAGAGAGCGAAAATAGTCAACGAGTCCAAGGAATGACATTAAGTGTATATGACTCACTTTTTGGTCGCAATGCTATTCAAGTGCCTGATTCTAACAATAAACATTGTTCATCTCATTGGACATGCACGGCCACATGCGAACTCACCGACTTTGGTCCTGATCAGATTAATGAAGAATCTATTGTCTCTAAAGCATTGATACTAAATTCTTCACTTCATGAGAGAGTTGTTGAAGAAAACCAGTTTTCACTATTGGGTCTTAATGTTCAAGCGAAGGAAATATCATGGAGTATTCCCTATAAACTTCCTGCTGAATTGCTATACACCAAACTATATTGTGAGTGGTTAGAAGATGTCTTGGCGCGTTTTCATGACTTTCTATCAAAACAACAACTATATGGTGCTTTATTTGCCTCCCTATTTTCCTATGATCGTCATGAAGATGTATTCAAAGCATTCCTTGAATGTTGGTGCCCAGCCACTAATACACTTCATTGTTCTATTAGCGAGCTATCAATTTCTCTTCGAGATCTATATATGCTAGGTGGTCTCCCTCACCAAGGAACAATTTATGATGAAGTTATTCCTTGTGCAGATGAACTATCAAGAGCTGGCAACAACAAAAATTCTATCCCTTTGAGTTGTCAACACCTATTTTTGGCCTTCCACAGACTTTCTAAGAAGTATAAAGGAGATCAGAATGTGAAGATATCTGACTGGATTAATTTCTGGTTTAAAGGTGCATCAAGACATGCCAAACCTTCAAAGAAATCAACAAAAAATAAAGTTCACCGCCCTATGAGGACTCAAAATCCGTCTGGTGTGATCCTTCCTGTCCGGTCGATGTCCA